GGGGCCCTGCGCGGTGCTCTGGCGCCCTCTGCTGCCCCGCAGCGCGCACCGCAGCGGGGGCGGGGCGGGGGGGCACCGCCCGGCAGTGCCGTGAGTTTGTCGGGTCTCAGCAGCGSGGGTGGAAAAGGAGGGGCCCTGCCTGGGGACCCCCATCCCGATCGCCGCCCCGCGGGGCTGCTGAGCCGGGCGAACAGGGCTGCCCGCGTTGGTGGTCCCCGGGGAGCGCTGGCAGCACCCACCCGTGTCCCAGCCAGGTGGGGGGGCGGGGTGAGGGCGCAGGGACAGTCCCCAGCCCCACGGGACGGCGGGTCGGGCCACCCCGGTGCTGGCGTGAAGCCGAGTCCCAGCAAGGGACGGGTCCTTGACCTTGCTCGCAGCCTTCACATTTTCCCGCAGGAGTGTGAGCGGCGCTGTGTCCCTGCGGGCAGCAGTGGCCTCGGCCACCCAACGTCTCCTGCCTGCAGCCCGCTCCTTATCCACACCCTAGCTGTCGATGTGAGACAAAGCCGAGGGATGGGGACACCATGGGGACATGCACCGTCCTTTCCGTGCTGCTGCCGTGGGCACCGGGTGCAAGGTGTGGCCTCAGGGCTTGGTGCTGCCCTCTAGACATGGGGCTGCTCCAAGAGGAGCCATGCTACAGTGCAAGGGCTGGCATGGGAAGGGAACGGGGATCTGCWCCCGGTGTTTCACAGCCGCCCATCACCGCTGCGGCTTGTTAAGAGCTCGTTTCCAMGCAGAGCTATTCCCCAGTGCTGTGGGATGTGTCAGTGGCACAAGGGTTAACCCTGCTTTCCCTCYCTGTCGGTGCCTGGTCTGGGATAACCTCGTTAGCGGTGGCAGCGATGCCCCTGGGACAGAGCAGCCCTATAAACTGGAGCTGAGTGCTGGGAAATGGGCTGAGCTGCCTCAGCGGGGGGCTGGTGGGTGCTCCCCCCGCCGAGCACCAGCCCATGGCTGTTCGGGGTGGTGTGGAGAGGAGAAGCTGGATTGGGCTCTTGAGGACAGGATGGGTTTGTCACTGCAGGGCCTGGCACCGTTTGTGGAGCTGTGCCTGCAAGGGAATAAACAGTTTAATCCCTGCATAGGACTCCCCAAAGGCTCAGGGTGCTGAGAGGGGCTGGCCAAGCCCTGATCCCACAGATTGGGGGGCTCCTCTCTGTCCCCCTGGACTGGGCTCTTCCTCCTCAGCCCCCTGCAGTGCGGGTGCACACTGGGACCTTGTCACCGTTGCTGTGCCAATCATGCCACCCCCAGCCCCAAATGGGGTCTGGGGACGCCCAGACAGYCCCTCCCACTCGGTTGTTCCTTGGATGGGCTGGGGAGCATCACCCCCCTTCCCAGGGCTGGCACTGGCATGGGTGCCCGGGCATTGTTTCTGGCTGCGCTGCTGTGCCACAGGCCGGTTTCTGGTGGCCACCTCCCCTTGCTGTGGGAGAAGATGGGTTCCGTATGCTGGAGCATTCATTCCCTCTGCTGATCGACAGCCTGCGGTCTGGCGGAGCAACCCCAATTGTTCCCAGTGTGCTTGGACAAAGAGCTGCCTAGAGAGATGGCAAGGCTTCGGAGCAGATGACATGCTAGGAATATTTCCACTGCCTTGGACACCACCAGGCTTTTCCCCCACCTCCTGCAAGAACGGGAGGCAGCAGCTCAGTTTCACAGGCGGGGCAGGATGCCTTCCCCCTGTTCCGAGCAGAGTGGGGACAGAATCCTGTCCCAAGGTAGGCTGAGGGCTTGTCCCTGGGACTGTGTCCTCAGCTGCAGTGTGGTGCTGTGCTGAGTGCCACCCTTGCCTGTCTGCTCCCASGGCATGCACCACGGGAGCCCCACACGCCCCGAGAGTCCCTGTCCCCGAGGATTCACGTGGCACAGCAGGGTGGGGGTGATGTCCTGGGGCCCTCTGGTGTGTTCAGGGCTGCTGTTCCCAGGCAGACAGAGCAATTTGGGGAGCTGCAATTCACAGACGGTGTTTTTGCTGTGTGCTGCAGCACCCCAAAAACCTGGAGGAACTGGGGAGGACAGTATGGGGTGAGGAGGGGCAGGATTGTCTTCAGCACTGGGCTAAGCTCTGGCTGCCTTGGGGCCCTCACCTGCCATTTCTGCTCCCTGGCTTGTCTCACCTGGCTCTCTCCCAGCTCTTGGCCAGCCCTGAGATTTGTCACCCTATTTTGCAAACCAGAAAGATGTGACAGGGATACAGCCCAAGCTGAAAGCCCTAGGCATGGAGGGGCTCCTAGCWAGGTCTGTGGAAGCCGGGAGCTCCCAGGGGAGCTCTGTCCCTTCCCTGCTCAAGGTCAGGCAGAGCCAGCAGCAAGGAGCCCCAATTCATTCCTTCCCTGCCAGCCCTTGGGCTTGCAGGCAGGAGCCGGCTCTACATCTGCTCTTCTCCCTCTTGAACAGAGCCTTTTGTTCCCGGGATTTGGAAGGTTCCTTCACACATGAAGGGAGCAGCATTGGCATTTCCAGCGGGGAGAAGATGCTTCATCCGAAAACATCCCAGTTGCCTTGGTCATTAGCATCTGACATGGCTGAGAATCACAACAGCATTGAATCCATGCTGGGAACCGACAGACTCCAGAGTGCAGCCCCTGTTCTCCACTGCTCTGCTGTGGCTGCTGGAGCTGGCGGCGATGAGTGGGAGGATGCCTGAGAGCACARGGTCCCCATGGCAGCCTGGCTGCTGGGGCCACTCTGCCATCTCCCCCGCATTCAGGAGACACCGCCTGGCAGCCCTGGTGATGAGGTGTCCCCTGAGGCAGCAGAGAATCCCCAGCGCTGCGAGAAGGGGGGTGACAGCGTGTGGCTTCGGCATGGCCGAGCTGCCCCTGCCCCGCTGCAGCCGGGAGGGCCCACGTGTCCCCAGGCAGCAGGGACAGGGATGGGGCGGCTGTGGCACGGCAGCCCCAGAGGAAATGGGCCGGGAAAGGCCTCGGGGAGGCAAACGGCTGCAGRAGTACGGTTAGCTGCACCCCAGGCTGGTGAGAGGCCCCTGTTTCCCCCGCGCCCGCTGTCCCGCCGAGATTAGCTCTCGGCTGGCTGGGCTTGACGGGCAGGCGGAAGGGGCCGCGCACACGAGCACCGCGGGGCCGCCCGGAAACGCGGGCAGAACGGGCACCGCGGCTGCTCCTGCCCTCCCTCTGCGGCTCGGGCTCCGCTCAGCCCTCCCTGTGGCTGTGCCAGCTGTRCCCGCTGCCTGCCAGCCCCTGGCGAGGGGCTCTGGCCATTGCCACCACGCCCGTGCCAGCGGCGAGGCCGGGCCGGGCCTGCAGGAGCGCCATGGCTGCCGTGCTGTCCCTCAGAGCCTGCCCGCTGTCCCTCAGAGCCCTGCCCGCTGTCCCTCAGAGCCTGCCCGCTGTCCCTCAGAGCCCTGCCCGCTGTCCCTGAGCCTGCCCGCTGTCCCTCAGAGCTCTGCCCGCCGCCCCTCAGAGCCCTGCCCGCCGTCCCACAGAGCCTGCCCGCTGTCCCTCAGAGCTCTGACCGCTGCCCCTCAGAGCCTGCCCGCCGTCCCTCAGAGCCTGCCCGCTGTCCCACAGACCCCTGCCCGCTGTCCCACAGACCCCTGCCCGCTGTCCCTCAGAGCCCTGCCCGCTGTCCCTCAGAGCC